CCACCATCAACGCCTTGAACGGCTCCTCCGTGAAGCTCTCCTGCACCTTCAACTCCTGCTACAAGGTGGAGAACAAGCAGTTCTCCCTCAACTGGACCTACCAGGAGTGTGGGAACTGCTCTGAGGAGCTGGTGAGTCTCGCCGGGGCTGGGGATCTGCTGAGAGGTCCTGGGACCAGCTTGAAGTAGTCATGTGGCTTCCTTAGGGTCCTGAGCCTCCTCCTTATGTGTGCCCCTGCTATCCACCCCTCCTCCATCACAGGCAAAATGAATAACTGACTGTGTAAAGAGCCAGCCAGCCTGATGTGGCAGGTCAGGCAGGTGTGAGTGGGGAGAGGAGGCCCTGGCCCCTGCAGTGGCCAGAGTTGGGCAGGGATCATGCTGCTCATGGAGCAGGGGAGGGGGATTCCTGTCTGGGGAAGGTGGGTACAAGGGGTGCCAAACCCTGCCTCACCTCCTCTCCCACACGGGCTGTCCAGTTCTTACAGTTCCGGATGAAGATCATGAATAAGCAGCTGGACCGCTTTGGGAACCGGGTGGAGTTCACCGGGAACCCCACCAAGAACGACGTGTCCTTCACCCTCAAAAACGTGCAGCTGGAGGACGAGGGCACCTACAATTGCTACGTCCTGAACCCCCCCGACCGGCACCGGGGCCACGCCAGCATCAGCCTGAAGGTGCTCACCAAAGGTAAGTGGTAGAGCAGTCCCCTCTGCTGTCGGGCACCCATGGGTGCCGGCTGGCTCTCTGCTCCTTCACCCTGTGCTGCACGAGCAGGGTTTGCTGCCCGGCAGCAGAGCAAGCCCTGCCTGTTCTGTGCTGCTCCCGCTGGCTGCTCCAGGTGGGGCTGTGTGCCCTGAGCCTGTGCCCTGTCTCCCCAGAGCCCCCGAAGCACGACTCGACAGTGGCTGTCATCGTGGGGGCCTCTGTCGGTGGCTTCTTGGCCGTGGTGATCCTGGTGCTGATGGTGGTGAAATGCGTGCGCCGGAAAAAGCAGCAGAGGCTGAACACAGATGACCAGAAGACTGAGGAGGAGGGGAAGACAGACGGCGAAGGCAACCCGGACGAGGGCACCAAGTAACACCCCCCTGCCTGCCCCTCCCTCTTCACCCCTGTACAGCGTGACCCCCTTGATATGCTTCCCAGAGCAAGGATTTCTGTCTCCCCAGAGCATCCCTCCTTCCATCTAAATATCCAACCCAGTCTGGAGCAGGGCGTGGAGAAAGAAGGTCCCTGGAGCCTGGGCGCAGCGGCAGGGCTGGTGGGGGTGGCTGAAGCATGTGGAGGCTGCAGCTGTGGCTGAGCTGGGACAGGCTTGTCTCAGCTGGGCCGGGCAGCCCTGTGCCTCTGTCCCACGAGGAAGAGAGAGCAGGGGCCAGCGGCCAGGGGCTGTCTGTGCTCGGGGCCATGTCTCGCCCCCGAGGCGTTCCTGCTGTGCCCAGGGTGTGGGCACAGGTGTACCCATCCCCGAGGCATCCCCCATAGCTGCCCATCTCCTCCTCACAGTCCTGTGTGCCAGTGCCGAGGGTGCTGTGACAAGAAGCTCGTGCTCCTCAGGGACTGTCCCAGCCTGCAAAAAAACCGTTGCCCAACACACTGTATCTGAGGTTTGCTGGGATTGGGAGCCACTGATGGCTCCCGGTGTGTAATGGATGTACCCTTCTGCCTTTTGGGCTATTTTTGGGCCTGAGCGTCTCAGCGAAAGCTGCTGGGCTGACTTTCTTGTGCTCGTTTCCTTCTCGGGGAGGGTGATTCTAATGGAGTTTTGCGGATGTGCCAAACCAGGAGGGTGGGGAGCTGCGGGTTGTGGCTGCTAGACACGAAGAGCTGCCGGGAGGAAGAGGACTTGTCGGGTGCTTGCTGGGAAGGACTGGGCACAACTGCGGGCCCAGAGGCAGGACAGCTCTGTCACCCCTGAGCAACCCTGTGATGCTGAG